CCTCAGTCTGCAGCAACAAGTGGGAGCGTGGTGGGACCAGCAGCTGCTCTGCTCTGCCTGCATGCTGTAGGTGACTGTAGGTGTGTGCTGGGCTGGGCTGCCCAAGTGAGGGAGTACAGTGACAGAGCAGACATCAGTGAGTGCTGTGTGTCCCACAGGTTGTTGTTTTGGTTCCGTTTGGGTCCCACCTTGGGTACTTGCATCCTTTGGTAGAGATAGGGGTTGGGCTTTTTTTGGTCCCTGTCGAATGCATGCATTTCAGGGAACCATCCTGCTTTGTGAACAGTTTGTCACTAATGGGGAAAATTAGTCACCCTCCCTATACAACTGAAGGGGCAGCAGCTGTTAAGGTGCCTTGTGTTGTGAAACATCCTGTTTCAGAAAGTATTTTTTAGTTAGATCCTCGTTTTCTGTAGTAAAACTCTTTCTTGGATGTTGTCTATGACACAGTCTTTAGCTGCTCATCTCAACCTGTAATTTGTGTCCTGACGGTTTTGTCTGGTGTCTGTTTCTCATTCTCCTCTGCTCTTGTACCTAAAAAGCCCTTTTCTGCTGCTGGCAGTTCATGAGTGGGTGCACAGAAGGGTTTAATGAGATATGCCTGCAAGCTGTGATAGGCAGCTAAATGGCATGTAGTTATGTGGCTCTCCAGATGTGTATGTCCTAGAGAACAGAACACCTTCCCATATTCTGCTACTGACAATGAATAAAATATATTTCTTTGAGAACTTGGTCTCTGTTGTGCTTTCAGCTGATCTCTCAGTGTTTGGAGCACATCTGTGCTAGATGTGCTGCCCAGAGCCACATCCAGCCTGGCCTTATATATTTGTATATGCCAATATGTAGCATGTGATCTTGTAAATTACTGCATAGGGTCTAAAACTGTGAGAAATCTGTAAAGTGAAGCTTTACAAATCACCAGATGTGTTAACAGCTAAGCAGTGAAGGTGAATTTATGAAACGGTGCCTAAATTCAATCTAATCAACTCTGAAATAGTTGTGAATGGGTGATTATTTGCTGGATGTTGATTAAATTTTTTGGTTAGAATATAAAAACATGAGATGGGTGAGTAAAGGGGAAATCAGAGAATCACAATGTGACAATGATGTACCAGTTGATACAGAAAGAAGCATTAAGTGTACTTAATGCTGACAGGTTAAAATGATACATCAATTGGAAGAGTTTCATTGTCATAGCATTTTAGCTGTCTCCCTGGTAATAAATTTCTGTTCAGCTGTGGAAAACGCCTGGCATGCCCAGCTCTCCAGCTACTTGAATGTCGTGGGGGTAAATCCTGAACTGTGGGGTGTTCTGCAGGTTTAAGTTTTAAGCTCCAAGTAAAGATTGAGTTATTGATTCCTTAAAATTTCAGTTCTGTTAGATATTGCTGCTGCTACTTCCTGCATCTTTAGAGTCATGGAAAGGAACACTCACGTGATCTTGTTGAGCACCTTTTTTTCTTTCTTGTTATGTTAATAGTTCCAGAGGGCAAATATTTGTACAGTAGTTTTGGTCATCAAAACCTGGTTACATGTGTAATTGCAGAGTATTTTGCAAAGAGTGGGTGGGACTTTTGGGAGTCTTACAGATGCTCAAAGCAAGCTGTGCTGAAACTTGCGATCCCTGACTCCTCTGGAAGTCTTTGGATTCCCAGAAGGTGCAGCAGGACTGAACTCTTCCTGTTTTTGACTCGTCAGGCTGAAGGAGGGTGTGTGGTGAGTTCTGGGAGGTGTGCTTCAAAGCCATGTTTAAACATGGCTGAGCAGCTGAACTGTCAGAGAAGCTGGGCAATTGTTCCCACGCTGAGAACAAGCACGCTGTGAGCGATGGATGTGTCTGCAGTGACTTTTTTTGTCTGGTTGTGGAATGTGAACAGCTGAAGCCTATTCTCAGTTGGGTTAGTTTCCAAAACTTTGTTGTTTTAAGCACTAGGATGTGAGCTTAAGTCTCCAAAGATTTTGTGAATAACGCCTGAATTGTTTATCCTGAATGTTATTCTAATTAGAGGTGTTCAAAAAGCAGTTTTTTTGGACTGGATGCAGATGACTTTCTCTCTTGATAGAGTGAGCTCTGGATAGAAAATAGACCAGACTGTCCTGGTGTGAGGTTCTTCAGTATTCTGCAGTAAATATAGCAAGTGAACTAATAATGTCCTTGTTGGGGACTTACTTTCTTGGAATAAAAAAATGAGGGACCAGCATTAAGGTTTGCCTAGTATCACGAGGGTGAAACAGGATGAAGGGAAGAATAAGTTGTAGTAGTTAGTTAGTTAGTTTTTAAAGCTGAACTATTGAATGTAGTGTTCTTTCTTTACATAGAATGATGTTAGATTTTGCTCTAAAACACATACTGACATCCTTGAAACAGTTGCTGTGAGTAGACGTCTGTGGTTGTAGAATATCTGTGCTGTTCTGTGGATATGCTGATGGAATTCAGTTTGTGTTCTGCAGTAGTAGCAGGTTTTTTTGCATGCAGGAGCCTGAGACATACAGTAGGATGGTGATTTAGAGTATCCTCTGCTAAGCTATTTCTGAAATGAGGAGTTATGCTTTTATACCATCTTTAATCACCATCCACAGTTTATACAATTGCTTTATGAGCTTACAAAGTGAGTTTTGAGCAAAAGAAATGTAAGAGGTGGGCTTCGGTGCACCACAAAAATAATGGAAAAATCGAATGCAATATACAACAGAACTCATTTGTGGCCTGACAGTGAAAGCTGAAATGTCTTTATGTGCAAATTTTAAATAGAAAATTGCAGAATTGCTGTAGAACTAAAATATCCAGTGATAGATTCTACTTAATACAAAAGACTTTTGCAGATTTCTAGCCAGATACGGATTTGATGAGATGCTTATTTAGCAGAGCTTTGCTATTGAAAGTGTATGATTTTTCTCTGCATTGTGTGATAGTTGATTAGAGAACCACTTTAGTATATGTATTTTTGGTGTTGAAATTCCACATTCCCAATAAACATCTGATTGCAAGTAAGTGAAGAATAATGTCTTGCTTTAGAAATGAAGCACTCGTAGGCAGAGCTCTGAGAAAAATGTTTCAGACTTCCTTTGCAGCACGATCTGAAAAGATACTGGTGTTACTGACTTCTAAACCAAAAATTTCGGTGTTCTCAAAATGTGGGGATCACAGATTTGTGAACTTTGGTTAATTTGAGGGATGCTGCACTTCAGCAGTAAATGATCATTCACTTTCTATAGGACTACAAGATTACTTATTCTTTTGTGGCAATTATTGTATTTGAATATGTTCAGGGTTTCTAGTAATGCTTCTGGGAATGAAACTTAGCTGTGATAAAATGATTACCCCAGAGTCTTAGTCTACATACTTTTGATCTTTGTCTTTCAATTTCTTTGAGCTCCTTCAGATAGGACTCCCCAGTGCCCTTTCCACAGTTACAATGCACCTAGTGCACACTTTGATAGTCAAATATAGCATTTACTTTGAGTGTAGGGAACGTGTAGATCTTGTGAACTAACAAGGTCTTCTGAAGTAATTTCCCTGTCTAGTGAAAAACAAAGCTATCCAGCCAGCAGTGTGGTAAGCCTGATGTGTTTATGGTAGTTCTTCAAAGCTAAAATATTCCAGATGGCAGATTGGTTTGTGTGTGTTGTTTTCTGTAGCTTTTTTCTTACCAGATAAAATCTTTGTATGAGTGTATTACCATGAGTTCTCCCCTCAAAATTGTCTTTCAGTACCAAGCTAAAAGCTTCAGTCTGACTCACTGCTGCTCCTCTTACACTGGGAAGCCCATTCACAGGTTCAGAATTTGAGGCTCACTGAGCACTTGTGGAGTTGTGTTACTACTAATAGCTCTCCGTGGTATCTGGAGCAGTGATTTCACTTGTACCCTTCATCTGTAATTATGTCAGGAGGGGGAAAAAACAAAACAAAAACCTTTGTTCGATGCCCTAATAAAGTCTGTGGCAGATGAGTGTGTGCATCCATGTGTGTGCACTTGTGTGTAAAATGTATTTACTTGGCTGTGAAATTTATTTTGAACAAATTGATATGTGGATAGAAAGTGGATATGGACAGCTGAGCTCTGGCAGCAATGATAGCCTCAAACTGGCAACCTCCTGGTGTATATTTAGTTTTAACTGTCTGAGCATGAAGATAATGTTGCATCCATGTGTAACAGAAATCTAACAGTAATTTGTCACTGGAGGAAGGACCTATCACAGCATTTCACTATGCCTGCTGCAAGTGCATTGCTTGGAGGTGTTTTTTTCTTACATGAACATGTTGCCTATGAACACACTCAACCCTTGTTTACAGGATTTTAAGGCTGAGTAACTCTAAACTGATAGCTTGGAACTGTGACTGACACTTCATGACACGAGTAGAAGTATCCTTCAAAATGTATGTCACTTACAATGTTTATAAGCTCTTACATCTTCTTTTTTCCACCAGTAGCTACCTCAGCATTTTTCTGCTAGACATCAGTTGTGTTCCCTTGTAAATGCTCAGGTGTTCTCCTTACTGATCCTGGAAAAAAAGCAAAAGTACATGTTTATAAAAAAAAAAAAAAGACATGTTCTGAAGAATTTCTCCATCAATACATTTGTTGCTTGCCCTTCCAAGTTAAAAAAAAAAAAAAAAAAAAAAACACCAAAAAAAACCAAATTGACTTGAAATAGTAAGAAGTGTAATCTGCTCATGCAAGTTGCTCTATGCTTACTGTATAAGCAGTGGTTATCAGTTTAAGTAAGAGGATTTGTTTTGTAAGGTGACTCAGTGTTGTAGCAGAGTCAGGAAGTTAAATAAGCAAACATAAATAAGACTCTTATACTACTTTTAGAGTTTAGAGATTGAAATGTGCTATTAAAACTGGATGTCTGAGAGACTTACTGCATACCAAATGGAAACAATGACTGCTTGATTTAATGCTTTTTTTTCCCCTTTTCCCCTTTTTGCTAATTGAGAAATAATTTCAGCAGATCATTATTTAGAGAATGCTAAACATTCAGTATTAACTTTTCTCCTTTCATCTTTATGTTCTAGGTCAGCAATTTGGTTCCACTGCACTGAGTTTGCCTGCATTCAAAACTGTTTGCCTACAGTAACTTGCTCTGGTTGGAAGTGAACATGTCTCAAGTTCAAATTCAGAATCCTACTGCCCTTGCAGGGAGCCAAATATTGAATAAGAACCCATCTCTTTCACAGCCACTGAGTATTCCTTCTACTACTAGTTCTTTGCCCTCTGAAAATGCAGGTAGACCTATCCAAAATTCTGCTTTACCCTCTGCATCTGTTACATCTACCAATGCAGCTGCAGGTGAGATTGAGTATCTATTAGTAGATGTACATATTTTTGATGTCTTGGACCTATGAATGTTGTAGAAGTAATACTTACCCAATTAGAGCAGCTTGTAATGTATTCTCCATGCTGAATGGAGTCTGTCTGAGACAGACAGAGGCCTGTTTGTAATACTGAAAAATACTTAACATTTTCGTACACTGCTTGGAAGTCTCAAGGTTCTTCAGGGAACATGCTGTTGCTGTTCTGGCTAATGACCAGAACTGTCTAATCCAGTAAACGTATTTCTGGGGGGTATTGATGTTAAGAAAATGTAGGATTTTTATTTAAAATGTTTGTAGACTTTATTGCTACCTGCTCATTTATCTGTTTTTATGTAATCTTTCAGCTCCTTCTAACATGGCAAACCCCAAAGAGAAAACCCCAATGTGTCTTGTGAATGAGTTAGCCCGTTTCAACAAGATTCAGCCTGAATATAAGCTTCTGAGTGAACAAGGTCCAGCTCATTCAAAGGTACCTATTCATATAAGTTTGTTTCTCTTCTTCATGCTCTTGTGCTTTTGTTAGTGGAAAGGCAAAGCATATGCCTTTAGTTGTAAATCAAATGAACTTGACTGTCCTAATTGTCAAGTATTTGGAAAACAAGGATCTTAGTATACATTTTTTGATGCCTGAAGTACAATACAGTTGAACAGTGCCGAACATTCATCTGGTCCAAAACAGTTAGATTAGCAAAAGAATCTTTAGTCCATAATGGTGGGGATTATGACAATGCTTAGGACGAGCCAGCACGTGGTGTTCATCCGTTATCATTGCAATCTTGTACAGTGTGTTAAAAGCCCAGTAATATGCAGTTTGTTTAGTGTTCTGTTTACCCATAGAGAGAGAATTTCTAAGGAATGCAATAAATATAGAAGCAATTTCTGTTACTTCAAAGAACAATGAGGATGTGAGTTTTAACACTGTTAAGCTTTTTAATTCTCATTGGAGGTCCCTATTGAAAGGTCTACTGAGGTCAAGGCATACAAGGAAAATCAGCCTGGGCTACATCTATTTAATCTGACACCATCTCCTTAAGGTGTTGTCTGGAACAGCGTTAGTGTTCTATGCAGGAGGAGTTGCCTTTGATGTGGGTAATGCTTGAGAATTAAAATCTTTCAACCCAAACATGTATAATGTCAGCTTCAATGTGCAAAGTAGGCAAGGCTTGCCTTTGCAAAAAGTAATGGAATAACATTCAGAGCATCTGTTCACTTGTTTTCATTCTGACTGAAATTAAATTTCATTTAATTACCAGAGAGACTTTGGCTTTCTGTTGTCTGATTAATTTGTGAAAATTTAGGGCAATATATATCCTTATCTCATATAAAAAGAAGTATCACAGCATTTCTCTATAATCAGACAGGTTTGTAAACCCTTGGGGGCATGCAGGAGGTTTTTTGGTGCAATGTGAACTTATCGTTCCTTAAACTACTGGTAAACACAGTTTATTAAAAAAAAACCAAGGTGTTAAAACAGCAAGTTGTTGGGGAATAAAGTCTGATTTCCAAGGCAGCTGTTCTGATGGATGTTGACATACCACCTCCCTCCGTTGTGGGCACCTCTGTATGCATTGCCTCTTTTGTTTTACAGCCTGTATCATCTCACGTAGTGAGCAGGATAGTGCTAGCTGCAGTTTTGTGAAATTCATAATTAAGTTATCAGGGATATCCTGTAGATGTCCCAAATGTTTAAAATGTGGAGTTGACATAGTAGTTAAGGGGAGAGCATTGGATACTGTCTTCTCGACTTTTGCATCAGTAGAAGACTCGCAGTTCCATGGAAGATGGTCTAATAAATGTTGTAAATTCTGAACCCACTCATAGTAAAAAATGCTTTCTATTTCTCAGGTGTTTACAGTGCAGCTGACTCTTGGGGACCAGCACTGGGAAGCTGAAGGAACTAGTATTAAAAAAGCGCAACATGCAGCAGCTGCCAAAGCCTTGGAAGGGACAAAATTCCCTAAACCTACAGCTCGTCCATCTCGTAGTGAAGGCAAGAATCCAGGTATATACCTCACCAAACTGATATAAAACCAACAAACAAAAACTGTGTGGAATTTAGGTTTCTGGTTTTAACATATCTGTAAAGTTGCGTAAGATGAATAAAAATAGTGATGCTGAAATTATGTTCTGTGTAATAATAGCAGTAGTTGGGTTTTTTGAGAAAGTCATTTTGATATTTAGCCTTTGGTCATGATAGGCATCATAAAAATTCAACAAAAATTAACAAGTTAAAAGTACAGATTTTTTTTTCGTCATATCGTTCAGGCTTTTGAAGAACTACTGCTTAACTTGCTGCTTTCTGTTGTATTGCTTGGTGGAATCTTTGAAAAGATTTTTATCATAGTCTTGAAAAAAAAAAAAAAAAAAACTATCAAGAATTCAGTCACAGCAAAGAATAATATTTTTCGTAGGTGGGTGAATTTGGCAATTTTTACAGGATAGTTCAGGAGCTTGATGATAAAGATTTCCTTAAAAATTTAAGTGAACTATTAAATTTGTGTCCAGTGGTTGATTCACAACTTTGGAAGATAGTTCACTTGCATTTCTTTAAAGAGAAGTAAAGTGGAGTTGTAGAAAAGCGTCTTAAGTTCTTGCAGTGCTCAGTCAACTTCTTATTTTCTAAGATTGCTTTGAGAATGTATCTAGAATGTGAAGTAGCTTCTCATCTCAGCTGCACATGTGATAACTTTGCACATCACTTGAGTTGAAAGCTCACTAAGGATGGCATTATTCCATTCAGCAAAGGATAACATTTTAATCTTTAATACCAGTTGTATTCTGATATCACCTAAATTCTTTCTTTAAAAACACTTGGTACAGCAAACAGGAAATATACTAGAAATTAGCAATTACCTATTTTTTCTATGAATCTGTTCTGTAATTTCTTTTTTTTTTTTACAATCGGCTTAAAACTTTCCTTTACATTTATGTGACTGTTCTTTATCAGATGAGAATAGTCAGTCAGTCACTCATCCACATGTTTCACAGTGCTGATTTCATGTTTAGAGCAACCAGCAGCAATATACCTTCCTTGTCAAAAGGCAAATTGCAGTTTGAAAGGAAAGAGTCACAAAAACCTTCGTTAATTGTTGAACAAGAAGAAATACTCAATTGTTCTCAGTAAACAACAGAAGCAGAAGATGTCTGTGAATTTCAAAGATATTTTAGAAAAAGTAATTGCTGCTTTGCACAACATATGCAGTAAAAATCAATCAGTAGTTTAACAAAGCTTCACCAAATAAAAGAAAAAAAATGTATAAGAGAATTGGCACAGTTGATGTAGGCTTGTAATTTAATGTGCATCAAACATGTATTTTCTTTGAGCTCTGAATAAGAAATGGCAAAGTCTAGTCGTCTTTTTTGCTGCTTGGAGACAGGATAGAGTTTGTATTGCTGCAGTCTCTGGTGACAGTTGGACAACTCTTTCTTTCTTTTTTATTTAGACAGTGTAACCCCCACAGTGGAGTTGAATGCACTTTGCATGAAGCTGGGAAAGAAACCTATGTATAAACCTATTGATCCTTACACGGGGATGAGATCCACTTACAACTATACGATGAGAGGTGGTACTTATCCTCCACGGTAAGTATTGTATAATTTTTGGGTTTTGCAGGCTATTGTTTTTGAAATTCTCCTCTCTTCATCTGATGTCATCTGAAAACTATTGAAAAATGCAAGTCTGAAGCAAAAGGGTCTTGATAAATACACTCCACGTAAAACTGCAATTTGTCTTAATGGTTTTGTCTTCTGGGGGAAGGAGAACGTGAAGGAACTGAACCAGATGATGAAGTGTTTTGAAGGACACTTGGATATATTTGGCTTCATGAAGGGAATACCTAATATTTCTTGCATTTCCTTTCTGTGTAGAAACAATTAGATGCTTTTTTTTTTTTTCAAATTAACTCTTTAAGTTGCAGGCTCAGTTTAAAGAATGTTCTGAGCATTGAAATGAAGAATTCAAAGCTTGCAGGACTAACAGCTTTGTCAAAGCATAGTTATGTTGTCCTTTGCTATTTTAGTTATAAAATATTGTAAAACAAGAAATGCCAATAGTCTCCTTTACATATATCTCTCTAAAATCTTTTAGACTTAAAATTTGGCTTTTTAATACTCGTGGTTATGTGCTGAGAGGTGGTTACTAATACCCAAGAGATTCTTCCATATATATCTTATGTTTCTGTAGGCCAAACTATTTACTTATTTATGTTTATCTCTTTATAGGTACTTTTACCCATTTCCTGTTGGGCCTTTACTTTATCAAGTTGAGCTTTCAATTGGAGGGCAACAGTTTCATGGGAAAGGAAGAACAAGACAAGCTGCTAAGCATGATGCAGCTGCTAAAGCACTAAAGGTTCTGCAGAATGAGCCCTTGCCTGAGAAACCAGAGGTGGGAATGGATTAAATGTTTTAAGTATAAATTGTTAAGATCATTTGAGTTATTGTAGATGTTTTTCCAAATTGAGAGGAAGATTGTAGTTATGAAATTTAATTCTGTGTAGGAATGTTTATGTACTTGTGCCACTGGAAACAATTTGATTAGAATAGTAGTAATTTTCTATAGGACTAGAAGTTTCTGAAATGAAGTTTTATTAATTGTTTTGCTGCAGTATATTTCCACAGCAATGCTATAGGCCTCTGTCAGATGTAATAAGCGCTAGAGCTTATATAGGAAGCAGTGTCTTACCAGGTACAGATATTATGCAAACTTCTGAAGAAATCTAAGCAGGGCAGTTAGGTTCCAGTACAGGCAACACAGAGATCAGACACAGGTTTCCTTCCTGGGCAAAATTTCCACGTGATTATGGAATGAACAACAGAACATAAAGAAGAACTTAAAGGAAGTTCATGGAAGTAATGAAGTTGTGTACAATTTTTCATAGAAATAATAAGAAGCAAAATTGTATCCCTTCATATGTTTATGGTTGACTGGCACTTCTCATTCCAAGATCCTTGCTTTTTATTTTATTTTAATGTATTTAACATGCTTAGACAGGAAGTCTCATTGTGTGACTGTGTGCAACCTCTCCATATGTGCTGAGTGACATCTCTACCAAAGCTCTCAGTGTAGGGAGTGTGTTGGTTGTAGAGTCTGACTGTGTGCTGGAAAAAAAAGAAAAAGAAAAAAAAAGTAGGCAATTAGGCAAGAATGTAATTGGGGAGTCTCAGACTGAGATTTAAAAAAAAAAAGTGGGAATTACAGAAATTAGTGAGGGAACACAGAATATCTTGTGAAGCCAACAGATATTGAATTTAAAAATGTTAAGTGTTTATGGGAGAGGCCACTGCCCAGATAATTAAGGAAAAATAGTCAGGTCTGATGTTTTTAGGAAGAAGCCTAGGGGGCACTGCAGTATGGAACAGGTTGGAGTGTGGGTGATCAGGGACAAGCTGGGAGTCTTCAGCAGGTGAGATCAAGCCTGAGGGAGATATTTTGGCATCCTGGCTTGTATCAGGAATGGTGTGGTGAGCAGGACTAGGGAAGTCATCCTGCCCCTGTACTCGGCATTGGTGAGGACTCACCTTGAGTACTGTGTTCAGTTTTGGGCACCCCAGTATAAAAAGGATGTGGAGGTACTGGAGCAGGTCCAGAGAAGGGCAACGAGGCTAATGAAGGGCTTGGAGAATATGACCTATGAGGAGAGGCTGAGGGAGCTGGGGAAGAGGTGGCTGAGGGGAGACTCTCTTCCAGTACCTGAAAGGTGCTTACAGTGAGAGCGGGGTAGGTCTCTTCTCACTGGTGACAGGTGACAAGACGAGGGGAAATGGCCTCAAGTTGTGCCAAGGTAAGTTTAGGTTGGACATTAGGAAACACTTCTTTACAGAAAGGGTGGTTAAACATTGGAATAGGCTCCCCAGGGAGGTGGTTGAGTCGCTGTCCCTGGATGTGTTTAAGAGCTGTTTGGATGTGGTGCTTGGAGATATGATTTAGCAGAGGGTTGTTACAGTTAGGGTACTACGGTTAGGCTGTGGTTGGACTTGATGATCCTTGAGGTCCCTTCCAACCTGAGTAATTCTATGATTCTGTGATTCTTTCAGCGCAGAAGGACCCCACATTTCTAACTATTGTCATTCTGTGTCACTGCATAATGATCGCTTTTTGCACTCGTCTTAAAAGATGACCCACTGTCCTTGGAAGTTTGTGTACGGGACCCAAGGAGTCCAATTGCAGAAATTAGTGGGGTCACAACTGAATTCATTTCTGTTCACTTCTTTAGAAAATCTTATGTGCAGGTGACTTTTTGAGTATTTGTAAAGTCGTTTAAAGCTGAGTAACATGGTCTTCAGAACACATGCTGTACTTCCACGTGATCACATATTCTTTACTGTAGGTTGTCTCTTCCAGTGTAAATGGTGTGAATTGAGAGATGAGGGAAGTAAAGCTACAGAGTTCCTTTTCTTGTTTGTTTATTTTGAGGACATGACCAAGAAATTGCTATTGTGAATTATACAAGAGATGTCAAGAATAGAGAATTATTTTATGAATGGAACAGTTGCCGGCTCCCTGTATTGTTTTGACTCTGCTATACATATGTTGGGCAAGTCACTTTAAGTGCACTTCCACAAGAAACATGCATTTGTCTTTTTATTTTCATTTATTTATGCTTGACTTCTACTAAGTGAACATTAAGAAGTACAGCTGTGCTCTTTGAACAGAATACTGTTTTATAAAAAGCACTCAGACCAGATCTTAAATTTGGTACTTCAGTAACAAATTCATTAATATTTGTGATTCTGGAATGTTATGACTTTGGGTTTGTCTGCGGGAGTTACTATCTTTGTAACAGCTTTTTTGCACTAGACAAGATGAAGAGAAAATAATGAATGTTTTACCACTAAGTGAATGCTGTTCAGTGAGGCAAGAGCACTGAAGGATGCAGCAGTGTAAGATCCGAAGAGATTCCATTACATGTACATATAGTGAAGGCAAATTAAGATTTTTTACAAGCAGACATAGTCCTGATACTTCTACTTGTCACTTGATGTTGCCAGTAATTATCCTTTTAAACATACTTATTTTCATGGATCCATTAGTGTGTGTCTATATATAAAATGTGTAACCCTGAGCTCCTCTAATTTTAGTCAGAAAATATTCAGTGCTGCAGAATAAATCATTGAGTAAAACGAGTAGACTTAAAGCATAAGAATAACCATTTACCTTCTTAGAGCACAAATCTGGAAGCTATGGTAGGAGAAAGATTTTAATAAAATTTGCTCTCAGCTGGACAAGCACTGCCTGAGCAACTGATCTAATTTTAAGTTGTCTGTGCTTTGGGCAGGAGTCTATAGTAGGAAACCTCCAAAGGATCGTTCCAACCTAAATTAGTCTGACTGGAGTTCAGACACGCTGACAAGAGGCAGAACAGAGTTATTTGCATATTCAGAGACAGAAGTAATAAAGCCTAGATTTAAAGCTTGGAAAGCGGTGTTTTGCAGCACAATGCTCAGACAAATTCTAACGTTTGCCTGAAAACCCTAAACCCAGAATGGCTTCTGGGTTTTTTTCTATTTATCTGCTGAATATCAGCTGCTCTTTATAAGTTTAACATGGAAGAAAATACTGATAGCTCTGAAATCAATGTAGTTCGCATCAGCAATTTTCACAATATGCTTGTAAGGAGTCCTTGAGGAAGCACGTGTTGAAAGACTTCCTGGAAAAGGGGGAAGGAATCCCTTTTAAAGGAGTATATTACTTTTGCAGTTTGTTTAGGAGCTTTTTAATCTATGATACGTTTTTGTTTCATTGCATGACTTTTTCAATTGATAGAGGGGGATTTAATAATTTGTTAAAAGCCAAGTGGAGGTTTGTTTGTGGTCTCATTCTGATTTAGAGGCATAATAGATTCCTTGGAGAGGAATGCACATGTGCAAGCTACTTTAAAAGCAGACTTTATAGATTATCTGCCTCAGCATTGCTGGGAAAGAGGAAGAAGGTGGGGGTGTGATTGTCTTTGATTTATTAAATAAACTGATCCAGAACTGAAGTGGAGGCAAAATAATTGGTAAAAGAGCCATAGTCTGTCAGTGTTTTGATATTAATTTACTCTATTAAAATAAAGACAGTGAGAAACATACCTGTTTTAAACCATTTGAACAGACTTGAAATATGTTAAGAATATACAAAAGTAATATAGCAGATAATTTCATACTATATCTTTGTTTTGTTTTGGAAGTATTTTAAATGGAAAAGTAATCCAATGAAGAGAGGCCCTGGTCATCTTGGCAAGGAAAAACGTGGGAATTTCACAAGATAGAATATATCTGGGATTACAAGGAAGGGAAGAATATTTGTAGTTAAAGTGATTGTGCAAATGTTTTTATAGTAAAGTCAGAGACAGATCATTCCTATCAATGCTGGCAGTAATGTGCTGTAACACACCCTAATAAAGTAAGGCCTTAAGAGTTCAAATACTTTTTCTGGGATTATGATGCTATTCATTTTTAACCTACCACTTGCATTTCAAATGGATTTTAGAATATGATGATTGAGATTTTTGACACCAATAGTCAATCTTTTACCTGCACTGTACCCCATGTGGGGTGTATACCCAGAGATGTAGTTTGTGGTTCTTGGAGCCTTGGTACTGCCTGCACATTTCTTGTGTGCTGCTGTGTGCTTTACTCCTAAGGGAGTGGTGCCATCATGTGGTCTTGGTTTTTGCAGACCTGAAGGTTGTTCTTTGTATTGGAAGATCAGAAATATTAGATGTTATCGTAGGAACAGCATGAAGTCTGCTGGGATGCTAGGAAGGAGTGTATGTATTTTGTTCAGAGATTGGAAAAGGCTTCTTGAAATGGTGGGAGTTGAAGATAAATGTCCTCGCGTTCTGATCTAACTTGTTAGTAACAGATACTGAGGATGCTTGCTACCATCAAAACTAAATCTAATCAGTAAAGCTCTCTAGCATATTTCTGCTTCAATAAAATATTTAAATCATTTTTGCTAGCTGGTTGCACAACCAGTAGCAGTATAATTGGTGTAATTGTTGCTATTCATCTTTATCATAATCTTTCCTATATCACTGCTGAACACTTAGTCTTAAAATTTCTCTGTTGCTGTTACCATGCCTCTTAATTCATGTTGATACCAACATCAGTGAAGATATTTTTGGAATCACAATCAAAATTTTATTGGGAGATACATAGAAGTGCCTGTAGGTAAGACCCACCTGGCACTGCTGTCCTTCTAGCAAGCTGTAAGATATCAGAGATGTATTTGATTTAAGGCAAGTTTCTGATGGCATGCTCCTCAGATGATTAGAAAAATTTGTAGATGAAGAACTGGCAAGAGAGCATGTTGAATGACAGGTCTGTGCCAGGGTCTGATAAGTCATCCTTTATTCACATTGGTCCCATTCTCAGAATCTTCTTTTTTTTTTTTCTGGCCTTTCTCTTATCTGATACTGTCTTAGTGCTTTTGGTACAAACGTCCAATCAGCATATGAAAACTGTATTTCATAAAGGTACTTCCATTTGGAAAGTAGTTCATTTAACGCTTCAATTTCTTGTTCTGTAGATAGATTTAAATCTATTGGCCCATATTCCATTTATAGTTTTTCTCCTATCATGAGCACGTGAAAATAAGGAGGTATGCTAGCTTTTACCCATCACCTTAAAAGAGCTTCCTAAATTTCAGGTCTGTAGTACGTGTGCTGCATTTTTGCACATTCATGTAAAATGGCAGTAAAAGTTAAACAATTTGAGAGTTCAATAAACTGGTTGGATTAATCAAATTCAATTTAATAGGATCTTTATTTTAAATAGAGTATGCTTCTTTTAGGTTAACGGAAAAGAACCAGATGATGAAAATCTCAATAAATCTGAAATAAGCCAAGTTTTTGAGATTGCACTTAAAAGGAACTTGCCTGTGAATTTTGAGGTATGTCTATTTTACAAGCTCTAGATCTGTTTTCATTAGAAAATTAAGGCTACACATTAAGTAGAGTCTTCTTTAGGTAAACCAAACAACTGACTTTAACATGCCTTGTTAGTTGTGATACATGTTCATTTTTTGACAGTCGCCCCAATTGTCTCAGAGTTCATATGGTTAAGTGATGAAAGAAACCCACCTGTTCACCAAGTCATGCACTAAAATCATAGCATGAGTGAACAGCTGTGCTGTGGTTGTCTGTGCAATCTTTTCCAAGTTTTTTAAAAAAATCAGTTTGACAGTGGGGGAAAAAAAAACACAACAACCCCACATTAAAGATTAGAACACTGAAGCACAAAGTCAAGGCAGAAGAGTTGTAACTTGCTCTGAAGGAGCTTATTTATGGAAGTATTTTCTTAACTGAGCACTGATGTGGACTACCCGCAAGTTGCAGAATCTCACAGATAGGTTTCTTTTCTTGCCATGAGGTGACCTCATGTGCATCTTACTTTCCTCTCCCTTTTGGCCTGGCTGCTTGCTGCCTCTTTGCCCCTCCTTGATCATTTAGTTACCTTAAATCAGTAGCTTTGATAGGAGCGTCTTAATTGCACCAAAATATTAATTTATTGTGTTGCCTTCCTGAGCTGGCAGAATAATGCTTCAATCAATTATTTGAATGCTTACTATAAGAAAATGTAATTGTGTGTAACTAAATTGCTTTTTAAACTGTATTATGAAATTTCATATGAATCTTCCAGTTATTAGAGATTGGCATGAACATCACCAATAAAAATATACTGTCACAAAAAGCCAGTTGTGGGTGGAAGCTCTCAATTCGTTTTTATTTTTTGATTCTGGATGTCTTGAAGTATGATTTGTTAGGAATGGAGTTAAGAATAAATCTGTAGTAAGCAGCTAGTACTAAATGTTTCCAGAACTACTGATTTCTAAGTTAAATTGCTGGATCCCGAATAATAGCTTTCTCAGTGATGTTCTGATACTGTAACCTAATGTATGAGGTGATGTTATCTGCATGGAAGTTGACAATGAAGTAGAACAGTCATTTTGAAGGAGTAAATAAGTTAGATGGGTTAACGACTGGAATACGTAAATAATGTTTATGGGTTACTGCATCTGGTCTTCTAAAACATATTTATTTGGGTGGGATTATGTTATTAGAGGATGATTTATATAGGCACTTTATGAATTTTATCAAAATTTGAAATCTCTTTATCCATAGTGCTTGAGAGAATTTTGCTATAAACAATGTGCTGTACCATTTTTAATAAGTGTTTATCACGCTTTCACTCAGTTTTTCCCTCTGAAACAGGTGACCAAGGAAAGTGGTCCTCCCCATATGAAGAGCTTTGTAACCAAGGTGACAGTTGGAGAATTCTTGGGTGAAGGTGAAGGAAAGAGCAAGAAGATCTCAAAGAAAAATGCTGCAATAGCAGTCCTAGAAGAACTGAAAAAATTGCCACCCCTTCCTACGGTTGAGAAAATGAAGCCACGAATCAAAAAGAAAACAAAATCAATAGTGAAGGTAAGAGACAATCTAACTGCTGTGAATCATCACGCAAGAGATATTTCTTAGTCAACTATAAACACATTTAGATTGCAAAACATTCATCATCATTTTGGTGCTGGAAAAGAATATTTTGCTCCCACTGGGAGCAAATGGAGTTCCATCAATATTTTTACAACAGATTATAATAAATTCAGGATGAAGGAGAATCCATGTGAAAGAATGAATGATACCTGAAAAACAAGCTCTGACTTTCAATGCTTAGTGTGCGGTTTTGCATGATTTTTACCTTCTACAAATTCTCCTGCAAGCCTGTCCTTTCCAACATCTGATTTGAATCTCTGAAAGTATTTGCCAGTGGTAGGTTCTGTATGATCAACTATGACAGCAGAGCCAAATAAATTGGGTGTTTCTCCATGCCTGCAGTGGTATTTCATTAAGAAATTTTGGTTTTAGATTGTTTTTATTTCAGAAAATGAGTTCAGTGGCTCTGTTTTCTTGACTCAAATATTCACAAATTTTGGCTTATTTCCTGAACTTTTTTTTTTTATAGCTGCAAACAAGTCCAGAATATGGTCAAGGCATGAATCCCATTAGCAGACTTGCCCAGATACAGCAGGCCAAGAAAGAGAAGGAACCAGAATACATGCTCATCACAGAACGCGGTCTTCCAAGACGTAGGGAATTCGTTATGCAGGTTTGTTTGTTGACTTGAGAAGTTTAGTTGCTTGGCTGTGATGTTTCTTTTTTTCTTTTTTTGTTGTTGGCTTATTGTAATCAGAATGTGATGATGATATACAAAATGGATAGGATTACAGCCAAGTTTGCATTGAATTTATTACAGAAATATTAGTAGATTCCACCCAAGGGAGACGGTGGTTCAAGAAAAGTGAACTAAATCATGTTTAAAAAAAAAAAAAGCATGGGACAGCAAAAGTCTGCCTGTGCCTTCCTACTGTATTTAAAGCTTTTTATATTTTTATAACATAGGATTCATTAAACATGAACCAAATAATTCTTCATTTCTTCTTTTCCAAGATTTCTTGTGTGTTGCCTTGGAATACAATGCTTTTTGCATTCCTAATTGCAAATTCCAATAGTACAGTAGTTTTTTGATGTTGACTATCTGCTAGGCTCTACTAATCATGTCCTCCAGCCCTCTCTTACATTCTGGAAAAAGCAGAAAAATCAGTTCCTTTCCAGTACATTAAGAAAAATTGCTAAACGTTTAACTTCACCTTGAAAAACTGTATCCACTCTGATGCCAGTTTTGAGCATTTAGGCTAGTGCCAATATGTGATGATACATGTGAAATACAACTGATTATGCTATTTCTGTTTGTTATTTTGTGCTTGGAGGGCAGTGATTGAAGATAATAAACAACAGATTAATTGTTGCTTAGAATAATAGTCTGAACTGTTTCGTGACTTCTGCTGTATTGAAGATACAGGTGAACAGTGAGTGAATCCTAAGCTTAGGATTTTACTTGCTCTTTCTTCCTCTTTTGTCCAGGTGAAAGTTGGTGTACACACAGCTGAAGGAATGGGCACAAACAAAAAGGTTGCTAAACGCAATGCAGCAGAAAATATGTTGGAAATTTTAGGTTTCAAAATCCCTCAACCTCAGCCTCCAAAACCAGCATTAAAGACAGAAGAGAAGGTAATATTCTCTGAATACTGACCATAGTTAGAGTTTAAACAATAGCAGCTTTGCAAGACAGTAGAGGTATAGTAAAGCCTTACCTTCTGCAGTGGTCAGGAAACCATTCTATTGAGGTAGCTTCTCTAAATAACTGTGCATTCTGGATACATCAGGGATTCAATTTTGCAAGCAAATCAAAGTCTCATCAGAAGACCGAATGAATGTATTTTCCAGGGAATGGTTCAGTATGCGAATATTTGATTGATGCATTTGGTCTTAGAAACTGGCAAACATGTAGAGTACATTGTATATTGGAATTTGTGGGTAGCTTTACCAGTAATTTCAGTCACAAGTTTGTAATAGTTTTTTATTCTCTTGTGAGTCTCCTAGCGTGGAAAGAGCCTTGCATTCTTGTCTATTGATTCAGCAGATGTGAAGTTAAAACAGCAAGTCTTGTTTTCTCTTTTTCATGTATGTGTCCACTTGTTTCCAGTGCGTTCATATTGTTGCCAGCAATATGAATGTTATTTTAACTGGCTGATTATGGTATCTAGTTCTCAATAGCTGTGTTCCTAATAACACTTCAGTAGCCTGTAGATGACTCTATTCATTCAATAGTAATCATTGAACTTGTCTTTTCTTTATAGGTGTATGAGAATAGAGTCATTTGAATAATAATTCTTCAGTAAAATTTTGACATGTCAGATTGTGTACATTTGGAAAACTTTAACACTTGAGGGGAAAAAAAAAAGCTTTTAAAGGGATATTGTTTGACCTCATTTCTTTCTTTTTAAGACACCAGTGAAGAAACCAGGTGATGGAAGAAAAGTAACTTTCTTTGAGCCGGGCTCTGAAGAGACTTCAACTAGTAAGTAACATTACTGAAAGAGGCACGGCCCTGATGCATTTCTCAGTCCCTTCAAAAGCATCATTTAACATGCTATAATAAGTAGAAGTGCTGGGACAATTTCTGTGTGAGGAAAAGGTAGGGAGAGGAGGAGAGATCAGTCTCTGACTTAGGAGAAAGTTTCTCTGATATAGAGTCCAAGTGAGGATGGGAACAGATTCCCTAGGAAAGTGATGCATTTCTGTTACCCGGGGTTAGTGTTCCATGTTCGGAGGAATAGTTGCAATAAGCAAGCTCTGTATTGGTGGCACCTTTCTTCTCCTCAGGTAATAAAGAAGATGAGTTTAGGATGCCTTATCTCAGTCATCAGCAGCTTCCCGCTGGAATTCTTCCCATGGTCCCTGAGGTTGCACAAGCTGTAGGAGCCAGTCAAGGACACCACACCAAAGAATTCAATAGGGCAGCCCCAAATCCTGCCAAGGCTACTGTAACAGCAATGATTGCTAGAGAGCTATTGTATGGTGGTACTTCTCCTACTGCTGAGACCATATTGAAAAATAACAACTCATCAGGCCATGTGCCCCACGGACCACTTACCAGGCCCTCTGAACAGCTGGACTATCTTTCCAATGTTCAAGGAATCCAGGTAAATGTTCAGTTTTCAAGAGTTCTTCCAGAGCTATCAAAACTGATATAACTTGTTTTAAAGCATTTTGGTTCTGCTGTTGACTGATATTCATGTAAATATTTTATTTACAGAATATTCTGAATTTTACTTTTTTTGAAAAATGTTGTTAAATATGCATTATATACTGATTCTCAGGCTCAATTCAGTGCTGGTGTGTAGGCCTCTGGGAAGAACAAAAAGGAAATTAGTGTTTTCTGAAAACTGTCATGATATGGGAATGTAATGTGAATTGGCTGGTCTGAAATCAGTTTTTTTTTTGAAAAAATGATGCATTCACACTGCCATAAACTGCATTTACTTAGGGTTAGTCCCTTTCATTACAATTGCATTTAATTTCCTGTATTGATACCTTATTGATATTATTCTTAGTAATAAGAGCTCCATCAATTAAAAAGTGTAACAGGAAAAAATTCAAGTAGCAGTGAGCAGAATAAAGATCCTAGAAATAATCATTATGTAGCAGTTGTAATTCAGAAGGCTTGCAGAGTTCTTGTGATTACTCAAAATTATTATTACAACTGAAATAAAACTCAGAAGTAAATGGTTCTGCTGGCTGACAGATAATGAGTAAAAGTAGAGTTTGGCTTCATATGTAGGCAAATAATCCTTAGCAGTTGTGATGTATTATTTCTTATACTCAGTTAACTGAAAAAAACTAAATAATTCTCTTTTCTTTAGGTTGAATATAAAGACTTTCCAAAAAATAACAAGAATGAGTTTGTGTCTCTTATAAACTGTTCCTCTCAGCCACCACTGATCAGCCATGGAATTGGAAAGGATGTAGAATCTTGTCACGATATGGTATGATGAATATTATTGAAATGCTTTCTTTTTTGTCTTCAATGATCTAAGGGATGCAGCAGATAGAACAGGATTTTGTTGCTTCTGGACAATTAAATGCTGTACAGTTCTCTGACTATTTTTGTCAAATACATCACAGGTTGCTAAAATGACTGATGAATAATATCAACATCTAATTTAAGTAACCTTTAACATGCTTAATATATGCTAATAATTTTGGTATACAGGAAGTACATTTTTTATCTCAGTGTTATGGGCCCTGAACACATATTGAAGAAAATGTATAAAAAGAAACTTCTAAAACACAAAAGCATATAACTTTTTTTCTTAATGGAATGAGCTGATATCTTATTTGGAATGATAATACTTAGATTCATATTACCAGATTTTCTGCTGGAGTAGAACCCAAAAGGGAACAAAATGCAATGAGCCATTAAATAGCAGGAGACACTCTAAATCTGTTAAAATCCATTTATAAATAAGGTTGTCTTATTCACAGTAGCTCAAATACATTTTGTGAAAGAATGAGTCTTCTAGACTGAATTTTAAGTGATCTTGTCTTCTGCTATGAAAGACATTACATATTGTTAGCCATATGTACACAGACTACTGTAACTTGGAAGAAGTTTATTTCCTTTGGTGTCTAGTGGTGACTAGACCACAGACTAAAGTAAGAGTGTGTAATGTGTAAATACATGTAAGAAAACTGGTTTGACTGATTTTTAGACTCAACATTTTTTGCAGTAATTTTATAATAGCTATATTTTGTTAGAGATCTCTTTGAGCTTTGTCACTGAGCTTTGATGCTTATCTCTATATCCTGCTGTAAAGAGCTCCTGGAAGATTAAGCACACAAGTCAGTGTAGTAGGTAAAGGGAAAAGGACAGCAGCATTCAAGCTTAACCATTGTAATTTGGTAGATGTGAGAGCATTACTGGGCTGATGTGAGAGCATTCCCATGTTGAGATATTCAGCTTTCACTAAAGCACGTGCCAAAATTAATGGGGTGTTTGGAAGAGGTGTACCTGAAATTGATCTGAAAAAAACTGAAAAATCTTTTCAATTCTTAAAGGAAGTAACTTCTGCATTAGCTGTGCCACATTAACAAAATATACTTCTTTTATGTGGTTGTGTGCCCTGTTTGTACCCTGTCTTTGATGCTTTTGTCTTTTTTCTTTCCTTATTCTGTGGAGGACTTCTTGGTTCTGTGTATTCTGATGTCCTTACCCAAGTACTGTACAGTCGGAGCCATTATTAATTTTGTTTTTTTTTCCATGATATTAATAGTACTGCTGAATTAATGTTTCCCTGTTGCTAAAACAAATGCTATGGGAATCCTCTAGCCACAGTACCATTCTGTTGTTTATTGTAGTAAGATCAAATCCTACACTATATAATACTTTCTGCCATAATTCTGATTCTTAAAAAATATATTACCGAAATTAGAATGCTTACTTTGAGTCCCAGTCCCCACTTCACTAAGCAAATGAAATGATCTCGAGTTGTTGAATGTTACTTCTTTTCTTTAGGCTGCATTAAACATTTTGAAGTTGCTGTCTGAGCTGGACCAACAAACTACAGAGATGCCAAGAACAGGAAATGGACCAATGTCTGTGTGAGTGTGACCCATTGACTTTCCCTTGTATTGTTGGAAACATGTAACCCTAAGATAAACAAATAAAATATGAGGGTTTTTTTCTTTGCCAGAGAAGTTAAAATACCAAGGGCTGTTACCTTGCTGAGAAGGACAAGAGGGTAGGTTTTATGATCCAGCTTTTAATTTTCACGTGTCAAATGCAAATTATTAAGCTTAATGCTACAGCAAGTATAAAATGTGATGGCTGTGATATACAGGAATTTTGACTGTGATATCTCTGCTTGTTACGTAGTTACATGTATTTGTAAATAGTGTGATGTTTTTCTGTGGATTTAAGTATTAGAGCAGCCTCTAGAAATTTCCTGTGTGTAAATTGTAATCTCGGTTTAGATTTCACAGCTTGCTCACAGAAGAAGTGGTAGGCGAGGGGGAGAGGGAGAGTGATTTGTAAATTTGTCTTTTAGCAGAAAAAAAAGTGGCTTTTTGTTTTGTAATTTATATAACAAGCTATCAAAATAGTTGAATCAGTAAAGTACTGATTGATTAAAAATTGAGGCCAGTTGCATGTAAGCAGATCATCTGCACCTCAAATCCTTTGTATCAGATTTAGAAGTGTTTAGTTAGTGAAAGTGGTGTTTTATCTCATAAGTAACAGATGTTTCCTCATTCGTAGATGTGTGAAACAAGAAATGGAAAGTGATCCTCTTCTCAAACCGGCTAACTCAAACACTTTGGGACAAACACTGGACAGCACTGCCTAAAAAGGCATTTGACTGGACCCAAACATGAAAGCACCAGAGAAAATCAAATGCTTCCTATTAATGTAACCTGTTTTAGAGTGCTACAGTCTTTACAACCTACTGTAGTGTCTAAATCATAACTGTTGCTTTTTCTTCAAACAGTGATAAATTTTTAGTTTCATTATGTTGTTTTGATTGAAATGACACTATAAATTTTTCATTTAAAAGTTTCTTAATTGTATCTAGAACAATAGCACAGTTTAGAAACTTTGTCTTCTGAGACTGACATGTTATCTGTGAACTAACTTGGGAAGATCATATCCATGTATGTGGTTATTTTGTTTTTATTGAAATAGCAAGTTTCTCTGCAAAAAAATTGTGTGTCCACCATTTTTAAGAAGTCCAGTAATTATCCAACGGTTGAATGAATTATAACACTTCAGGAATTTTAAACTTCGATCATTTTTGGTTAATTTCTAGTTTTGTTCAGTAGGGGTATGGGAACTTGAATGCAACGTGACTTTAAGTGATCTCTGATCTGTGTTTTAAGGATTGTGTGTATAGATGGCACACAGCTCACTACATTACAGGATATGATCTCAATGTATAAAAACCGCAGATTGATTTTCCTTGAGTGCTTTATACTGTTTAATTACATCTCCATGTAGGGCTGAAAAAAATTACCTATGTTTATATATAAACTGTGTTGCTTTTGATGTTGTGTTATTGCGCACTGAACTGTGTGCAATAAAGTATTTGCATATGGTCCAGGTAAAGCACGATAGCCTTGCAAGTTAAGTACTGCTTCAGTTCATTGTTTACGCTGGAATTTTTTCTCCCCATGGAATGTAAGTAAAACGTAGTGTTTGTCACCAATAAATGGTAATACTAAATTTTTTTGGGGGTTAATTTATTCTTGTATGCCACTAAAGGGGCTGCTTTTCTATAGGATTTGTAATGCTTGTGATATAGTACGGGCGGTATTGTAAAGCTATGGCGTAACTGTACAATGATTATCAACAACATATAAATAATTACTATTTAGTGATGTGGAGAATGTGAAAAATTGGCAAGGTTGAGGAAATTCAAAAGTAATGTAGGTACATTTTGTAATTTGTGCCGCAGTGTATTAGTGCAACTGTATTCATGGGAGCTTAAACTAACCTTGTGATTATGACAGGAAACCTGGTGCAACAGGTTGGAATGATTTTTCTCTAGTTTCAAGTTTCCTTGTTTGCTTGTAATTTGAGTCATAACCTTGCCTTGCACCTAGTAATTCTGGGGAAGTAGTACTTTAAAAAATTAAACGAAACTTTCCCTCTAGCAACAGAAATTGGCACTGTGGACTGACCCATGGCAGTGTGTCATTTGGATGTGAACTATGTTCATGTGTACTTAACTGGTAATCTGTAGCAACACTTCTTATATACAGTGTGTATAGTAACTCATCATAGAAAGCAGTTACTGCACATGTAACTCTGAGCTAAATGTCTCAGCCTTTTTTATTTGCATTATCAAAAGCAATTGGGCTACATTAACTGCATACAAAATTTGATGGAATCAAGTTGGTTTTGATCATTATAAGCGCAAAAAACATTGTAAAGGTTTTGTTTTTTTTTTTTAACATTTGTAGAATTAAATGATGTACATTCAAAAATTAAAAGAAACTTGCTAGGCTGAGGCTTTGTATTGCAAATTCTTACAACTTATAAGCTATTTATCAAACAAAACTGGGAAACAAATATCACATCGATAGCAGTGTAGATGGCCTCCCTGCACATATCTGCTGCAACTTAGTTTTCTCTTTGAACGGATCTTTTCAGTAAGTCATTTGTTGATAGTGCTGTTTCCTGTGAATTTTAAGGTACTTTGCCACAGTTATCCCTATTTCAATGCTCATAAATGCATCAATCATCATAGAGGTGCTATTTAAGAGAAGCTTCCTTTTGTGAAAGACCTTATAGTAAGAGCCACATGATGGAAGAATTCATGGCCACGTGTGGATTCTAGGTAACACAAGTGAGTTATAGATAAGTGTGGGGTTTTTTCTAGAGCACTACAGTCACTTTTTTTTTTTCTGTTGACTCCTGTTCTTGATGCAGCAAGTGCTGATGAGAATGATTGCTTACTATATGTAATTGAAAGGCTTTACATTACACTTTAATTCAGCTGATACTATAGAATGTTCCACAAAGAAAAGAAATATAAAAAATAAGATCAGAAACTGAGGTAAATAAGAAATACCCTGACTGCAGTAATCTAACAGGCTAGTGTTGGTAAATGTATAAACTATACATTTCTGAGTACTAGCGAAGTGCTGTCTGCAAAGACGCATCTTTTTGGATTCTTTCTTTAAAATAATAATCTTTGAAATAATAAATCTTTCTATGGTCACTTTCTAGTCTTTATAAAATCTTTTGACTGCAACAGAATGAGCTGGAGCTTCAGTATGTGATCATCAGTCTACATTAGGTTGGGCTCACTTGCAGTCTTACCTTTCATTAATGATCCCATTACAAAACAAAAATGTATAAGGTCTGTTCTAAAACAACCTTGTCATATTCAGATCTTAAATGGCTAATATTGTTTTCCTTCCATCAGATTTCCTTATCTTATCTGACTCTGCTTAAATTACCACCAACTTTTTCATAAATGAATGCATCTTTCCCCGTGTTTCTCCCAAAATATTTGGCAATATGACACTACTGTTCTTGCTGTCCCAGAATCTGCTGTGTATTTAGTAAACTGTGAAATTCTGCACTCCTTTAGTTGTACAGAGAACTTCCCTTTAAAAATCGTCACTTTTAAAAGGGAATAGGGAAAACAAAGTATGTAGTATGATACATCAGTCTTGTAACTATTATGCTAACAATTGATATAGTGACCTTGTTTCTTTTCAGAATTTATGACATTATTATTCCAGCCTCTCATAGAGCTGATGTTCTGCAAGTAGAGCTGCTTCTAAGCCACTGCTTTGAGGTGGAAGAAGGTGGTTCGACCCTGATTCCCAAAGAGGCAGGTCATTGAATGATAGGAGTATGATGTGGCAGAAAAAGCCACTGAATTTCAGTCCATTTCAGTCTCTTTAGACCTTTTTAATGCCTATCCATCCTACTTCCAAAAGGAAATACAGAGCACATAAGCTCTGAAGTAGCAGCTTGGGATTTTCAAGAAGATTCTGGAAGTATTTTTATGTTAATTTTCTAGTTGTTCAGATTATAAAATAATAGCAGAAGAGACCAGAGAGAGTATGCAGTACGTTTTCCTTCACCAAAGGAAATGTCCTATCTGTCTGTATTCCTTTGCTTGGATGGACTCTAGTCTTCAAGTTGTTATTTTCTGATATTGGAAGGAAAGCACTTATTACTGCTTTCTAAAATGTCAAAGCCTTAAGCCAGTTCTAATGTCTAGCAGCTTTTACGTTGCTTTTCTTAAAGTGCTTCTGTGCTTTTGTAAAGTGCTGCATTTGTTAGCGGTTCTTGTCAAGAGTGCTACCATGCCACTATTTCTTGGAGAAATGCAGTCAAATGTCCCATTTCAATGCCCTGAATAAGAACCTGAGAATTGGCTTTATAGATATGCTGCCTACAAAACTTAACAAAGTGAAGCCTTTTCCACTGCTGTGTTACTGGGCTTAATGACTGCTGTCTAAGTTTCCTATTTTAATAACAGCTTGGACTCTAAACATGATATACAAGGTGGGTAATTGGGTAGCCAAAGTTCATTCAGGAGGTATTATTTGCTTTCTTCAATGGGTCATTTTGTTATTCATGAGCTGAAAGAGTGCAACATGTAGAGGGGAATAACGAAATTCACTTCAGGGGATTTTTTTAAAGCAAATTATTTTACCTGTTATTAGGAAACCCTCACTTCCCAAAGGAAGAGATGTAATTTTTCATGATTTCCACCCTGAAACTAACAGTGATGGATCTTACAAAAAAAGAAGAATCTGCAAAATTTATTTTGGAGAATGCTGACCTGTAGGTAGCCACAATATGCCTACATAATGAGCAGCAGTGTGGATTTACTGTGATGCATGTTTTTTCCATGATATTAAAATGCATTCCCATACTTCAGATTGTGTTTAGAATGGGATCTTGTTTCGCACTTAGTTCTAGTTGCAGTGACAGTAACTAGACAGTGCTATTACTGAAGCTCTTATACTGCTGGTTCACCTTGTCTCAAATGGACTTCAATTGGAAGGCTGGTATTTCCTTAGGATAAATCCTGCATGAATGGACTCAGCCAGGGAATCTGCCACTAGTAGGGTAGTTGTTTGCCTAGAGAATTGAGAACATTCGTTTTATTAATGTACATTGGAGTTAAATTTAGATGTACTTGGGATTTCATTGCAATTACTGTGTTATTTAAGGATCAAACCAAAATTCTGTTCTAACTTGTTTGTCAGAGTTTAAAGTAGGATTTTTGTTCTGATGTAATAATGTATAAAGACAAATGGGGAAGGCTGCAGAAGTACCTAGCTTCAGGAAGGGAACGGATGTTTGCGTACCATTTGACAAAATCTTGTTTTGTGAAGCAACCATATAATTGTTTGGTGCTTTCATTTTGAATCTGCAGATAAACAGAACAAGCGTGTATCAGTGTAAAAGCTTCCTTAAAGGCTTCTCATATATGTTTCAAAGTTCAGATTAAGAAATATGGTCCAGAAGTAGTTACCAATCTGAAAATACTCAGCTTAATCTTGTGACTGCAACATGCTGTATTGCTTCCCGTTACCTGCTGCTTGGATTTATACACTTAATACTCAAAAACTTCTGAACAAGACCCTAAATGTACTGTGAAAGGAGGTTGGGGAACATAAATTGTTAAAGCAAAATCTCTCGGATGTTTATTTAATCTCCCTGGATTAGAACTGAATAAGAGCGTACAGATGGTGAATTTTACTTATCCAAGAGTTTATTTTATTCTCAGACAAAATAAATTATTTTTTTGTACTGCTGGCAGCATCCTAATGAAACAAATTGTATTCAACTAGAAATGAAAATAGCACTTTTAAACTATATTTCCTCTCCTATTTCCAATTTCACAGTGTTTTAGCAATCTGCTAAGAGGCAGTGTTTCAGATTTTGAATGTCTTTATTTATTTATGCCAAAAATATCCTCGACAGAATATGCTATTAATACTGTCATCCTAAACTACAACTCTTTCATTACCTTTTTTGTCATTTTCATTTCTTAGAGAAGATATGCTCCTTAAGGAGGCAAACTTGGCTCTGTGCTAAAGGGACAAAACCTCTGATGTTTTTCATGGCTAAGACTAAATGCAAAAGCTATTTGGGTACAATTGAGCATCTCTACAGACATGATCTCCTACTCCCCATTTTAACATGGGTACAATCTCTTTAAGTTGCTGTACTTGAAATTTTAAAATTGTTACAAAGTACATCACAGTAAAGATATATCTTATGGTCTGACTGCTAAGTATTGCTTTCATTGCAGTTTTTACACAGCAGATTGGTTTTTATGGAGAGAAGACTATTTAGCTCTTGCCAAGAAAAAACAATTGGGAAATGAAAGTATCACTGAAAAAGTAAATCCATCAGTAGTTTGTTGTAAAAGAGGCTCAGTACAACTTTCCTACAAACTGCCACTATATTTGCACAAAATGTTTGTCTAGTCCCTTTTAAAGTTTGCTGAGTAGATACTGAAGTGCTTATGTGTTAAAATGTTGAGCCACTGAGTTACTTTGATTACTAAAGGGGATAGAAACTTGAAGAAAATGTGCTACATCAAATTCACAAAAGCTAAATACGTTTAAGTAATTGTCTCTTCTGAGCATTCTTAGCTGGCTGTGTTGTGCTTTCTCTCGTACTGTGTGAGTTGAAAAGTATTGTAATGTGTTCCTGCACAGTCTTTCAACATTGCAGTTGAAAAGTTTGTCCCATGTAAATGACCAACACTCAGTTATTTTTGCATGATAAAAATGTTCACATCCTTCTCTAAAGTTACTTTCAAGTTGATACCATATTGGTCCATTGCTCCATCTTGTTATGACAGAGCAGTGTCTTTTATCAATGCCTATGTAAAATTAATTTGCTAATAATAAAAGAGAGTAATCTGTAAGCCATCAAAGCTACCTTTTTCCTCAAAAAACATTTTCTTTAGAATTTAGCCAAAAATTTTGCAAAATGTTACTGGTATCATGCATCAATAGAAATTATGTCCTCAGTGCACAGCTATTAGCAAGGCAGTTGCTCATCTAACAAGCTGTTTACACTTTCTAAATGACTTATCTGGGCTTGGAAAAACTAAAATGTTTTGATCAATTTTAAGGCTGAACCTGAAATAGATGCATTAAATCAGCATTAAACCCAGTCCTGCATGGCTGCGATGATTATATCTTTGGGAAGGCTTGTGGTCATAAGAAAATCAACACTGTCATTTCTCTGTGTGTTTTGTTTTGTGTCTCTGGTGATCAATAACTACTGACCTCTAAATCTGCTACTGCCAACAGGTCTGAGTTTCCTGCTTCAGTTACAATGTGGCTGTGATCCATTTGTCATTTTTGGAGGAAAACCCATGACAGTCTGTAGCAAGAAAAAAAAAAAAACCACGAGAACTTTAATGTGCAAAAAGGTCTCTTGCTAAAATTCAGCTGGGTCACATTTACAATTCATTTTGAGTTGTGTATGTGACATGGGTTTGCAGTGTAACAAGATTAGTTTTCCCTATAATCCTAAAATGTCCTCTGGACTGCATTTTCATCTCTTCATGTTTTGGAACTTGGATTAATGGGATTGAAGTTTTTTCCACGAGTCCCATTTGATAAGCTGCTTTTTGGAATTAGTTGCTTACAAACACATTTCATTTGGAAAGAATATTTTTTTTATGGTAGTTGAATTATATATTGTTATGCCAAACATATTACAAGGCTTAAGTGTAGGCACCATATGGATGTCAGTAAATAAAAAATAGACAAGATGAATAAAGCAAGACAGGCTCATTTGTTTCTGAGTGTTTAAAACATCTTGTGGCTTCTCGAGGCACTTAGAAAGAGCCTGGACCGTGCTGCTGTGATCGGTCGTTTGCTTTGGGCAAGTTACTGAACATCCCTGAGCCTTTTTTTTTTTTTTTTTTCCAAGAAGTAATTTATAAGATGTATCGATGCCAGAAGCACGGGGTGCAGGCAGCACCCGCACAGCTGACATTCCTGGACCTTTCCTGCCTTGTAAAATATGAAAGTTACGGAAGCAGAGCAGACGGGCAGCCTCCTCTCACCTCGCTGTGAGGACGAGCGGGCACAGCAGCGATCCGCTGCCGGAGGCGCCCGCCCTCGCGCGGCCCCTCGCGCTGCCTCAGCCGCACCGCGAAATGGCGGCCGCCCCCCTGCAGCACAGCGCGCCACGCGCCCCAGGCGGCACCAGAGCGGAGGCGCGCACGAAACCTCAGAGCCGAAAGCGCCGCCCGACATGGCGGCGGCTCCCGCCCTCCGCGCGGGCGGGGCGAGGCGGGGCGGGGCCAGGCGGCGCATAAAGCGCGGTGCGTGCGGCCCAGCGGCCTCTTGCTGCGCCGCTGGGAGGTGAGTGGAGGTGCTGTGTCGTCTTGGGGGAGGGAGGAGGGCTCGTTGAGTTCGGGTTTTCCGCTCTGTTTCTTCATAGCGCGTCCAGCGCCTGCCCTGCCGCCTTTCTTCTTCCCCAGTGAGGGAGCGCCTGGCCTCGCAGCCCGCCTTCCCGGCTCCGTCCCGCGTCCCTGGGCCCGCATCCCTGCGCACCGCTGCGCTGAGGGCCCGCCGTGCCGCGGCCGTGCAGCCCTGCCCCCCCCGGCTCCTGCTGGTGTAGGTGATGACTGGACTTTTTTCCCCATCAGAGCGACCGTGTCGATCACTCGTCACTCCAGCCAGGTCTCGTCTGATGCACCAGCAGGGAAGTGCCGCGTTGTCCCTTAGCTGCGCGCTCTGTGCTCACTGCTGCTTTGTTTCGTTTCCAGGCCCGCTGTGATGGACGGCTGCAGCTGCCCGCCTCGCTCCGCCGTGGGTGAGATTCCTAAGTCCTTTTAATACGCGAGTTTTAAGGGGCTTCCTGGATCGTTCTAATGCCGTTTTGCCGCGTTATTATCTCTGGAGACTTGAAATATGAGTAGATGCGAACGTCAGCCTAGGTTTTGTACAGCCGGAAGCAGTTTTGCTCGTGCAGAAGCATTATAACGCGGGCCTGGCGTCGCTCCGGTCACACGCGAGGTGTCAGGTGTAGGATGGCGATTCACGAGCACCGCGGCTCGGATCGCCGGTTACCGCCGTGTCCTCGGCAGGACGGCATGGCGAGGCCAGCCCGTGCGGACACGTGGGCGCGGCTGTTCGGAGCTGCGGGCGCGGCGAGGGAGCCCATGGGCGGAGCTGTGCGTCCCCCGGGCGGAACGGGCTGGTTCGGCACTTCTCTACTCTGCCGCTTGCTGGCAGGTATGCGGTAGTGCTCGTGGGATGGGCCGTGCGGTGGCCGTGCCCCTTTCCTGTGTGCTGGGGTTTGGCGACTGCCCGGCACTCACAGCTGCACGTGCAGCCTCCTGCCCTTGCGTTGTTTGGGCAGAAATGCCTCATTTTCGTAGAGGTTGTACTGCAGAAGTGTATAAGCTGTTATCTCTGGCTGCCCTCCTATGTTAAGTTTCCCTGAAGCCCGTTTTATCATTTTTTCTTGGTGCTCTCCAGTGCTTCCCCTGTGCCATGAGCCTGTTGAGCAGGCAAATCAGCTGGCTCTTTCTGGGGAAGGATTTGTGTAAGCCTGTGCAGACCCTATGGACGTGCCTAGGGAGGTGGGAGTGTGGCTGTGTCACTCTTGGGACCTGCTGGTGTAGGTGATGACTGAACTTTTTTCCCCATCAGAGCGACAGTGTTGAATACTCATCACTCTAGCCAGATCTTGTCTGATACACCAGCAGGAAAAAGCTGCTGTGTCCCACAGCCATGTGTGGCTCGATGCAAAATATTCCTTTGGTTTTACTCCTAGGCCTCTGTGAAGGCAGAAAGGCATTGGGCCTGCTGGAGACCTGATGAGATGGCTGTAGCCAACAGTGGATCAGCTGTGTGATGAAGGCAGTCGTCCTGGCTTGCACCACCATGCATGAACCTGTAACAGGTAAAAATAGCAAGTTTGTAAGGCTTCTGTTGTTGATTAGTAAAAAAAAAAAACTTAGTAAAAAAAAAAAAAAAAAAAAAAGGGTCTGCTTCCAAAATGCTTTGTCAAATTAGTATCCTTGAAGACTTCCTTTATACAATTTGCAATACATAGCCTAATGATCAGAGATGAAAGCACAGGGTTTATTTGTGCAGAAGCATTGCAGTGGGAGCCTTTGTGACTCGTGTCACTCATGTTCCATCATGCCCAAAGTGGCAGGTGTGACAAGTGAACAGAAAGCAGCATAGCAAGGGATCAGTAGCTTCATGCCCATGCCAGCAGGTTTAGCTGGAGCAGACTAGTAGGTTTATAGCTGTGTCACATTTTTTTTTTTTCTAGATAAATGGTGTTCATAGGACTCATTGTAAGGTCATTCTGCCTGGAGACATGGGGGTAATCTGCTCAGAGCAGCTGCCATAATATGGTATGGGGACCATCCTGACATGAGATCCCTTAGGAAGAGAGGCTGTTGAGTTTGAGGTTTGAGTGCTAGCCAGCTTGAGGAAGCATTGAGGGGATTTTAGATTCTATTAGTGTTCAGTGGGGCTGTATGCATGCTTCTGCCATTAGTTCACCATTCTCTGAAACTGTCTCAGGAGGTGAGAGCACTGCATGGCTAATGTGGGTGCCTATGTAACTCCTTGGACCTGCTGGTGTAGGTGATGACTGAACTTTTTTCCCCATCAGAGCGACAGTGTTGATTACTCATCACTCTAGCCAGATCTTGTCTGATGCACCAGCAGGAAAAGGCTGTGATGTCCCACAGCTTCATTGGGTTCAGTGCTAACATTCCTTGGATTTTATTCCTAGGCCTCTGTGAAGGCAGAGGGACGTTGGGCCTGCTGGAGACCTGATGAGATGGCTGTAGGCAGCAGTGGATCAGTTGTGTGACAACTGCAGTTGCCCTTGGCTTTCTCTGCTTCCACTTTTGATAGAGGAGCAAAGGTAAGTGGTTTCCCTGGAGACTTGATAAATAGGTTTGAGCATTGTAGCATGAGCCCTCTGTGCATTACCTTTGTCCTCTTACAGCATGTTTGAGGTAGCAAGTGAGGTAGTGAGCAGGGACTAACACTGAAGGAAGACAGTAATCTGGAAGCAGTGGTGATGAAAACACTTTTTACTAGTTTACCTGAAAGTTCACACCTGTTAAAATATTCTTGATTTCTTCTACCATTTTTTGTGCAGGGTGTAGTGCCCTCTTGGTTATTATGGACCTGAAGGCTTTTTTAAAATGTCTCAACATTGAGCTGAAGAGCATTTGTCATTCTGTGGTATATGATGACTTCAAACTTTTTTCCCCATCAGATCGGCAATGCTGATACAAACTTATATTTAAGCCAGATTTGTCTGATTCCACAGATGCAAGATTCTTCAGTTTGTCATTTGGTTCTGTATTGAGGCTTCATGCCTATGGGTGGGGAGTTTGTATGTGCTGCATGCTCAGAGGGCAAACTGCACTGGAGGGTGCTGTCTGTGCATATCTTTGTAATACTGATTGCATTACATTATCTGACATGCATAAAAGTCTAAAAGACTGAAAGTGAAAGGAGTTTGGCTTTCAGAAGATTGCCAGTAACAGAAATGGCAGAGAGCTTTGACAAGTTTAAATTTAACTTAAAAGGGCATAAACATAGATTTTTTTTTTTCATTTTATCTCTTTTCAGTACTGTTAAAATGAAGTGTTGCTTATGAAGTCAGGGAACCTTTGTTGTGGATTTATTTTACTTGTGAATGAGATATTCTTCATGCCTTATAAGTGGATAAATGTCAGCTTTCAGCAAATTTCTGTTTTGCAGAGAGGGATTGCTTTTGGTGTTTTTTTTCCTTCCTTTGCTTCTGTAAGGGATCATATGTGAAATCTTCTGAAGACTTGGCTATTTGTTTAGGGTTTCACTAATGCTTTAGAAAATGTGCATAAGAAAATTTTGCTTCATTGAGTAAATACTTACTGCTGGCTTCATTCAGTTGCAGCCTGATCTTGCTGTTTGTGTAACCCATGTTCAGTTGTTAAAGCTCTGTGGGAGGCTGAAGTCTCCTCAGTAGCCTGTAACTGGAGAGCACAAATGTGACCCTTCTGTGTAGCACACTAGAATTCTAAAGGAGTTTGAGTAATCTGTGTCAGATGGCAGAGCTGATCAAATACAGTACTCTGGCACCCTCTGCTCAGTTAGTTCCCCTAGACTTTTATCAAGTACTATGAAATTCCCCCAGATTTTTTTCCAAGAGTGTCCTATTTGGAGTGCCTGGCAGTACAGTAGTTCTTGTGGCTGTTTGCAGAACAATCCTTACCATCTTAAAGAATTTTGGGGGTGAGATTTGAAAGCTGTATTTTTGCTGTTTGATGTGGAGTGAACTGACATGATGTTGGATGTTTTCTTGACAGGTTGAGTAGATCTCTCAGAAGGCCTGAGGATTTGCTGCTGTTTCAAAGTACTAGGCGAAAGCTGTCTTCTGCTAGTGATGTTTCTCTCCATGCTGCTGCCTGTGATCCTTGTCCACACTACAGCATCCGTATCACTGAAACAACTCCCATGTCTTTTCCCTTGGTCTTGCCAACTAACAGATGGCAGGTGTTGTGTTTTTTTCCTTCATATGATGTATTTAATCATAATGGATTCTGGAATTTGCTGCATGTTTTACGTAATTGGATGATTTTTGTCCGCAAAGGCTGTATTCACCACATGACAACTAATGTTGCTTGACATTAAAGGAAGCCTGAAAAAGCTGTTGTCATATATGATGGTCTTGCATGCAAGGAGAATTTTGTTTAATAAAATCTGTGTACTGTATGAACTCAACTGTCGAATGAAATTGTCTTCCATATTTATAACAGCCAATTTCTGTATGCTCTAATTGTTGGATTTTGGAGTCGGGTGGTGATAGTGTATCACTGTGGTGGCTTTCATTGAACTGCCTTCTGCTTCAGTTAAGGAAAAAAGGGTCATGGTCTCATAGCAAGGTAGCTACTCCTCACATACTCTGAAGCAAAAGGTGCTTAACTGAGATGTGTAGCTGCTGACATTTCCTATGAAACGATAGTGTGCTGGAATGTTCCAGGTAAGTAGGTCACAGTAGTTTTGCAAAATCTTCCATATGTGATTCCTTCAGAGAGTTAAGAGCAATCTAGGAAGGAAGAGAATCTGATACCAGCTTCTGTCTCCCTTGTGCAGTGTGATCAGATAGCAAAAATGACTACTGCTGGTTAGAGACTATTGGCAGATCTTGATTCAGCTCCTGCAACCTTCCCCTGGATGCTTTTTGGCAGTCTTCCTGATCTGCAGAGCAGGAGAATTAATTATGTATGTGCTGAAGTAGGAAAACACTGAACAAGATGGTTTCCCTAAAACCAGAGAAGTAGTTGGAATCCTTAGAGAATGTTGCTTCTTGTACCTCCAGACTTGTAGTAGCTCTGTGAAATACACATACCTGGCCTCAATGGGAGCAAAATATCTGAACTTGTGCTGTGCAACATCCACTTGAGTCTGAATAGTGGTAAGTTTGCTTTCTGCATGAAGGTGTTCTCCATCTGTTATGAGCATTAGCCTGGCAATCAAATGGTGTTTCCATGGTGCACAGTCAAGCAGACCTTGGCAGATGGCTCATGCAGGTCCTGGTCTGATAGCATTTGTATACCCTCTTGGCAATGCAAATGAAGTAAAACAGCCTCTTGGATTGAAGCTGTTGTGGAAAGCTGGGACCTGTATTAACTGAGTGTCTCAAACAGCACAAGTTGAGATGGAAATCCCAGGCCTAATGATGGAAGTAGTCAGTTACCTATGTGCTGTTGAGAAGCAGCACAGTAGTTAGTAGGTTCATTAAGAATGTATTTTAAAACCAATCCTGCAGCCTCATTAGTTTCCTGAGGAGCAGGGCCACCTGTCTGTGTGTTGCTAGTCCTGGGCTAGCTCTGATAGGTTGTGCATGCAAATACTAAGGAAGTGGCTGCTGCCTGAAGCAAGTGGATGCTTATGCCCTACTGAGCTAGCTAGCCCAGCAGCCACTGTTCTGCTTGAAGCACCTGAAGGACAAAAATGAGAAGTGAGTGGATAACAGGCTAAGGAAATATGCAGCAGGAAATAATTCCTTAAATTTTAAGTATTTAAATGCTATTTTTACTTCTTGATAGCAACATCTTAATTAATAGCTTGGTAGTTATTTACAGCTCCTAGAATCTCTGCAGGGCGTTTCCATTTCCTAAAACTGTAAATAACAGTTTCAGTCATTGTAGCAGGGGATTTGGTATTTGAACTGACAGTGGTCTTGAGCATGTATGTAATAGGATACAGTGATGATGGAAAATAATTAATCAGCATGTAAAAAGGAGTCTTCCATTAAACTGGATAGAGATTTTTCTCAATAACAATGAACAGCATAATCTCTTCAAGGAAGAACATATTAACGAGGGATCAGGGCTGCTAATAAAACTTAATCTAATGAGAGTATCTACCAGCAAGCTTTCTATGGATTGTGGAGTAGAGACTGCTAGCTGTCCAATGGGACAGGTGTATCTTGAAACGTCCTTTGTGTGTTTTTATCTCTTGCCAAGAAATCAGGTTAGGATTGAACTTTTGGTGCTACTCAGTATGTGCAGGGGTGAATGACAGCACTGAAGATGGCTGATCTGCTGTAACTCAGGAGCATTTCAGGGTGGGTGCAGGCTGGTAAGCTGGAGGAACTGAACTGCATGCTGTGAACTGGGCTCAGGGTTCTGACCTGGCAGCTGCAGGGGGTGCTGTGTGCGCACCTCTCCCAAAGCTTTGTTAAGGTCCAAACAGACAGGTTTTACTCATCAACTGCTCATTTGTGTGTGTTTATAGTTGGGATGCTTTCACTTTGTCACTATAGTAGTTTGCTGTAGTAACAGTGGACTAGTGTTTGATATCTGTCTGTGTCAAACAATTAGTTTGACAGTGGAGAGAAATTCTAAAAGTCACATGCAAGTAAATCTGAACTTGTCAGAGGCTTTTTTATTTGGAAGGGTAGAGGTGGTCTTCTATACTGACAGGTTTTTGTTTCAAAGCTTTTTTTTCCTGTGTGGTTTCTAATGCACCTGCAAACAGCAGGGCACCATAGGTAGTTTCGTTATACATCTGCTGCCATAATCTTTCTGGAACTGGTTTGGTTTTAGAGGGCCTTCCCTGGCACTCCTTCCAGACCTGTGCTCCAAATCCCCATGCACCTATGAGGAGAGACTGAGTGTGGTCGTTGGCAGCTCTGAGCACTCTGCTGTGTTCTGAGCTCAGGTAATTTCCCCATGTGTAACAGCAAGCTATTCAAAAACTTGAGCTGCAATGGACTTTGTAGTACTACAGCTTACAGCTGTGCAGTGAATTAAGCTTTCCTGGTAATAGAAAAAACAGGAAATGAATTCAATTGGCTCTATCAATGCAGGTAAAATCACCCCATTTGAAAGTCTCTCAATATAGCCCTTTGTTAAAAGATGAGAGATTTACACTGAATTTAAAAGCAATTTTCACCTGGCATTTTTTGCCCCAGTGTTGCCTGACTTCTGCAGACACTGGTCACCCCTGACTGTGACGGCTGGGTGTTTTGAATGAAGTAATGAAGGCAAGAAGGAATGTTTTGGACAAAGGCTGACTGAGAGCCTGTTCTGATTGCATCTCTTCACAGAGAGCTCCCTGCCATCTCTAAGAGACAAGCAAAGGAAAATCACAGTGTGTCCTAGGCTCTTATTCTGCTGCTGTGAAGTGGTTGAAGAGGGCAGTGAGGAACAAAGACAGGATTTGTCAGCTCCATCAATTATAACAGAAACAGGCAATTGTTGTATTGCATATACTTGGGTAACTTTCTAAAACTGAAATCTGCAGTCACTGGGCTGATATTTTTAAGCACATGTTTACTTTTCAGAAACAGCTCTGTTTCTTGGTGCCACGAGCATTTGAAAGGAAAATAGCACAGATTATTTCTCTGGATGTTGCTTTTAATAGTTGTGTTTTCATACACAGTGAGAGGTTTCACATTTGTGTTCTCTAAGATTAAGATTCAGGAATGGTTTTTTGACTGCATGTTGATTTTTTAACTTCTTTAGACCTGTCTGTTAAGTGGGTGCATTAGCTTATGGGATAGCACAGTCCTTTTATTCACTGCTGCTTCTACTGTTTGTATTGTTGCCTTTGCCTCAATCTCTGTTCATCAATAGATAAAACTACTCGATTATCAACTCTGTTAACACACTATTGTGGACAGCAATAAAATAAAACTTGGTTTTGTAATTGTTCTGGGAAGATACAGATTTGGGGACGCTCAAGCTGTCCTACAGACAGGGAAAAAATATTTTTTGTTGAAGCAGGGGGTTTGTTTCTCTAACAGCTTATTTTTAGACGTTCTGCAGTTAGAACCTTTCCTGTTCCACCCTTTTTGCCACTTCCCTCGCAGCAGTGGGGTGAAGTCTGCCATCTCAGTGCAACCCAGGTTTGTTTTGGTACTGTTGGATCTGCTGGCACAACATTGCCAGCTCAATATTGAAGATTATAGATAAATACTTCGTGCTAGACATGGTGTAAATTAGGAGCAGTCCCATTACATTTTCTAGGATTGTTTGTGAGTTCATGGAAATGAGTTCAGGACTGGTTCTGAGCTACCTGAGATCTGCTTGATTTCTTTAGTGTTATATTTAGAAAGCATCCACTGGACAGTCTGCACTTCTTTGGTGCCTGTCACTTGCTGTTTGTTTCTGCATGCTGTGGCAGGGTCACCTTGAAGTCTTCCCTCTAGTGCTGAGAATAAGCTTGACTTCAGTAGCCTTTTCTCAAACCAGATATTAAAGCCAAGGGTTGTCTTCATTTCTCCACGCATACTCCTCTGGGTAACCTTTCTCAGCAAGGATGTCTGGGGTAAGAGAGACAAGCAGATGCAATCTCAGCATTGACTACACAAAGAAGCAAGGCATGTTGTTCATCTCCAGGTGGTAAGCATCCTTCCAGCAGGCTCATCTAGTGCTTGAGTGTGGTAGGTAAGCAGATGCAATCCCACATGGTTGTGCTTGCCCAGATGAATTCCCTGAAGCTCGTTCCTGAAAGTTACTCTCCAAAGGTGGTGCAGTACATCAGCACCCAGGGGTTGGCCTGGGGTAGGTCATGCTTTCTGCTCCACATGTGCTTGTATTTGCCACTGTGGGTGGCCTCAAATGTGTTCAACAGCTTAATGCTTCTGTTTTAGAGTTGATCTGTAATAGGAAGAGTGAGACTTTTGATCCTCCCACATATACTGGAATGCTTGCACAGCAGTCCGGGATAGAGCGTGGCCCTTAGGAAGCAGCTAACCTGGATACCATTTCGCAGAAGGAACACTAAAGTCTACCTCTGTCTTTGTTTAATAACTGTATATGTACTTCCATGTGCTGCACATCTGTAATGATTGTAGACATTGCCCTACTCTGGCTGCTATCTCATGCTTCTGGTCACAAACCCTCGGCAGGCTCTTGGGAGTGTTGCTCCTACTGTTACACTGGCTTAGTCTTCATTCATGTTCTTAAGAATTTTGTCTACCAAGAAGAGAGAAAAACATTTTATTCTCCTGAGAGATGATCTGTCTTGAGAGGAAATCCATTTTCTTATAGATGTGGGTCAGGCCCTTCACAACAACAGTTCAGAGAAGACTGTTTTACAGCAGGATATTTGTAGGTAAAATTTTCTTGGAAATTTGCAGAGGAGGACTAGAATTGTCTGAGAAGTTCTGTTAGTCAGCAATTTATGTTGCTGTGGAAACACCTTAACAGGGCTTGTGAAAACTGCCTGGAGAAAATGGTTGTCAAAGGTTTGTAGCTTACCTAAACCTA